CCCGCACCAGCACTGGCTCACCCACTCTCTGGCGCTCCGACCCTGTTGTCTGGCTCACCCACTCTCCCTCATCCTGGCAGGTCCTCTCCTCGACTTTGCCAGGGCGGCGAAGTCCCTGCCCACCGAGCCTCCCACCAACGCCCACACAGACAGACTTGGTGGCACAAGCCAGGATGGCCAGAAGGGCAGGGAGAGACAGGGACAGACAGGGGATCCGATGCTTCTGTTGTCATCCTAGGGGCAGTGGTCCGGGTCTGGGCTGGGGACAGGCCGAGGTGAAGATGGCCACTTGGCTTCCCAGCAGGCCAGAGGGGGAGGAGGAGGCCGGAGGAGGCCGACGTTGTTTGCTGTTCCCAGAGGGGAGGGACCGGATTTGGCCTGGAGTGCTTCTGGGCTGGCTGGAAGCCGAGGGGCTTCCGGATGCCTCCCCAGGAGTCCGCCCAGCCCTCTGTCCCTATCCCAGACAGGGCTCATCCTGTAAGGCTCAGAGTGGGGGCCAGCGCCAGGGTCCTCCTGCCAGCCCCGCTGCCCACAACTTTGCTCCCAGTCAGGCTAGCTCAGGGCCGGGCCGACAGTCCCGTGGACAGCCCGGAAAAGCACTTCTGCCTGCTTGGGCGGCCGCCGGCTCCCAGCAGAAAACAAAGGCGGCTCAGACTCGGCTGGCTTCTGTCCTGGTCTGGAGGCCCTGGTGGAAGAAGGGGCCGGGGTCCAGACCCTCCCACCCCCAATCAGGCTTCACCCCAGCAGCCTACACCCCAAGCGTGTGCACAGTGCAACTTGGGCCAGGATACCCCAGGGTGATCTCAGGGACACCGAGCCTTTGTGTCCCCAACAACCGTGCAGCCGGGTGAGGGCCAGTTCCCTTCCGAGCCATTAGACTCAATCGATTCTGCCTTCCCAACTTGGGCCGGTAATGTGTGGCCGTCCACCTGGCCAGTGGGTCTGAGGGTCATTCCCCTGCCCCCAGGTGGCCACATCCTACAAGCCAGCCAGTGGTTCTGGCAGCCCTGAGCTGGAGCTGCCTCGGCCACCGCTGGCCAGAAGGAGAACTGGGAGAGGATGCCAGGCTGGCGTGGGATCCGAGCCCGCCTTGGGCTCAGCCAGCTCCCATCTGCCCTGGCATGGACCTGGGGGGAGGCCTGGCCAGCCTGTGTCCCAGCCTCCTTGGTGGAGTGGCCAGAGGGATCTAAGTTTGTGCTGCCCCTGGCCGGGGCCAGCAGGTTTCACCAGGGCCATGGGGAGACAGCGCTCAGGGCTCCGAACCTGGGCCACCAGGGGGACTCACTGCCCTCCAGCAGCACCCACAGGCCTCCTGGGGCTCGGGGTGCCCCTGGCCAGGCCCTCTCTCCCTGCTCTGCTGGGGCCCTGGGAGAGGCCTGGCCCAGGCGGGGGCCCCTCTGTGAGGGGGACCAGAGGAGCCACTGGTCCTTGGCCTCTTCTTGGGGCTTGGCCAGATTCTGCCAGGGTGGAAGGGGCCCAGCCCACCTGACCCGCCCCCCCATGCCTCTGGCCGGGCCCCTTCCAGCTGGGAGGATTCCAGCTCAGCTCCGCCCTTTTCCTGCTGTGCTCCCCTGGGGAAGCCTCAGCGTCCCTCCACTGGGAGGTGGCCCAGCAGCCCCAGCCTGGGGCAGGGGACAGGGAGGGGCCCCAACGTGACCCTCAGCAGCTGGTCTCAGACCTTGAGCGCCAAAGCAGCAGCCAGAGGCAGGAGGTGGTGGTGGGGGGGGTGCTCTCAGAGCTTAGGGAGAGGAAGCCAAATATAGACAGGCAGGCGTCCTGTCTCACGGGTGTCCCATGGTGGCGACAGGGACTGGCCTCTCCGCAGGGGTTCTGGAGGCTTGGGGCCACCCTTCAGCGGGGGCGCTCTGCCAGCTCCATTAGGGCCTGATTGGAGGGTTTGGGGATGTGTGTGAGGGAGGGGCAGGTGTCCTGGTGAGGGGATTAGCAGGTGCTTGAGCTGTGGGACCCCGTCCAAGTTCCCTGCTGCAGCCCGTGACCCAGGGTGATGAGGGTGCCTGAGACCCAGAGGGAGAGCAGGGCCCCTGGGGAGCAGAAGGTGGTTACGGTGGGGGAGCAGGCAGGTGCCACGTGGCTCCTGGGTGGGGATGAAGGGGACCCGGTGCAGAGGCTGCCCAGGAACGGGGAGGACAGCGGGGGCAGCAGGCGGCTGAGCGCGGGAGGGCAGGAGGGCGCTGGCCCTGACCCCCCTCCCGCCCCAGCTGAGAAGGTGAGCTCCCTGGGCAAAGACTGGCACAGATTCTGCCTCAGGTGCGAGCACTGCAGCAAGACGCTGACGCCAGGGGGCCACGCCGAGGTGAGCCCCTCCCCCGGGCAGGGAGGGGGGCGTCGGGGAGCCCAGGCCAGGCCCCCGCCCTCATGCCCTGCCCTCTGCCTAGCATGACGGGAAGCCCTTCTGCCACAAGCCCTGCTATGCCACGCTGTTCGGACCCAAAGGTGAGCCTGGGTGGGGCGCCACGGCGTGTGATCTGCTCCAGCGCTGGGGGACATGGCCAGTGCCGATCCTCGGCCCAGCAGAGACTTGGGGCTGGCCTGGCGGGACGCTGTGGACCCTTGGATTCCCCCGGCCCCCTTCTCTCCTTCCCCATGCCGGCCCCTCCCGTCCTTGAAGGACCAGCATCCTCCGAGCCTTTCCCGGAAATCTGCAGCCCACGGGTGCCCTCTGGGTGGGGGTCCTGACCCCACAGTGGGCCGTGGAGGACCCCTTTCTGAGAAGTTGGGGGGTGGCTGTGAGGGCTGGGTGGTGGGCGAGCCCACTGGCCACCCCCCCGTACAGTGCCTACCACCCCACAGGGGTGAATATCGGAGGTGCCGGCTCCTACATCTACGAGAAGCCCTCTGCCGAGAAACCGCAGGTCACTGGCCCCATCGAGGTCCCTGTGGCCCGAGCTGAGGAGCGGAAGGCCAGCGGCCCCCCGAAGGGGCCCAGCAAAGGTGGGCTGGGCTGAGTGTCCGGGGGTGGTGGGGGGGGCCGGGGCGTCGGAGCCGCTGTGCCCCGTCCTGACTCCTCCCCCTCCCAGCCTCCAGCGTCACCACGTTCACCGGAGAACCCAACATGTGTCCTCGCTGCAACAAGAGGGTCTACTTTGGTGAGTGGCCGCGCCCACCCCCAGCCTGAGAGGTCTCCGCCGGGGTTGGGGGGGGCCCCAACCTCACCATCTCTCCCGTCCCCAGCCGAGAAGGTGACGTCTCTGGGCAAGGACTGGCACCGGCCGTGCCTGCGCTGTGAGCGCTGCGGGAAGACGCTGACCCCAGGCGGGCACGCGGAGGTGA